ACACACACACACACACACACACACTCTCTCTGTACTTGCACATGACACTTAACATCATGGTGATAACCTGCTGTTACACAAACATCGTATTTTTGGGTTCAGTCCACACATACCTCATGAATCTGTGAATTTTCTCTCGGTGGGTATTTTTCCATTGGTGTGCTGTGTCAGAGCAAGACTACGAACACCGCCGGAGGAAAATGTAAAAATTCTCTGTATCATCTAATAAATTTCCTCTAACAAGATAAGTCTTCTAATCTTAGTGGAATCAATTGCCTTGGGAAAAAAATCATTATTAGGTCCTCTTGCAATAAAACTGCTGTTACGAGCTGTACTGTGCTGTGGGGATTTCTATACGGAGCCCCTCGAAATTCAATTAGCTTTTGCTCCTGTAGAGGCTCCTGGTGCTTTCCCATTAAATCCCAATGTACACACACATACCGTCTTCTCACATCAGGGTGTAGAGTGTACAAATTTTTTTATTTTTCTTACCCTTTACACATTTTATTTATTTTATTATTTAAATCATCAGATACCACAAAGTTAGGCCGAGCTGGGACACATTTTAAATAATATCGAACAGCTGCACTTGTTTCCCTGTTTCTTTGGTGTATATGTCAATTATTGACTGACTCTAGATGATCATTGACCTTTTATCCGTTAAAAGGGAACAACAGATGTTATATACATCTTTATATGCACATCCACATGTCATGAGTACAGACGTCACACCTACCAATCTTGATGCAGGTGTTGTTGGAGTGCGACTTGCGTCCCTGTGGGTACGAGAGCAGGATGTTCTGGGGTTTGAGGTCCCTGTGGATTATTCCCTTGGCCTGCAGGACCCTCATGGCCCCAGCAATTTGCTGCAGGAAAACCCGAATGGTGTCCTCACTCAGCGTGCCTTTAGCTGCAGACACACAACACAAATATGGGGACATTATACTAGGTATAAACTGTGATTCTCATACATTACAATGTGATATTTAGTGCAGATGTAGCACACGAGGAGGGGGCACAGCAGGCAGGTATGGACTGAGTGAACCGGTTTTCAATTCTCAAATGTATGCAAATCTAATCTGACCAAATCTTCAGCTCACATTGCAGATCACCTCATTTCACTTCTAAACTTATCTGTTAAAACATTTGTATGTGATGACATCGGCCCACTGTGACCTTCAGCTCCTCGTCTGTTTCCCCTCCAATCAGCTCCCTCGTCTCGCAGTGGTGCCACACGAGAGTTCCTCCCTTCTCTTGAATTTCTTTCTGACTCCACCTCGCTTCTCACAGACTTTTAAAAGCCAGATTTAGACTTTAGTTTACTGACCACAGATGGAAGTGAATCCAAAACCACTTGTCAAATGCTCTTTCTTAACCAGAGCAGCGATGACTGTTATTGGAATAGGAGCTTTATTTAGAGTGTGGGTACCTGGCAAGACAACGTTAGCAGGTCAGACAAGTCGAGTGTAGACTATTCTGAGTTAAACTGTAGATTATATGATACTCCCGGTTTGAGGTGTTGTCCTCTGTGCATGTGATGTAAGTCTCACGTACTGTGTGTATGATGAATAAAGACAGAAGAACACCAGAGGGACGTTTCTCTGTGAGTTTTATTACACAGTCTGTCAAAGTCTATTTACAGCCTCAGGTACTTGAAGTTCCTGTAGCTGTTTCTGAAGCTTCAAATCTGTTTCTGTCGTCAGGACTGCAGATAAAAAAGCTGCTTCCTGCGGTCGGACTGGAAGCATAAAAAGACAGAGTGGTGATGTGGCTGCCTCTCAGGGTATACTTTACTTTATATACTTTTTAAATTGTTTTGGAAGTGGAAGAGAGCTAAAGCTAGTTGTTTCATGCATTTTTAATCGTATTAAACCACTTCTCCAGTGGTCAAACAACCCACTGTCATCTGTCTTTTGTCTGCAATGGTAATGGGTAGAATCAGAATTCACTCCCGGTTAAATTACTCTGCAGTATACATTTTTATTGATTTTTATCTGCTCCAACCAGACGCTGCACCTGACACAATATAATGTTGTGCATTGGTGCATATATAGCCATGAACCTCTGTGTGGGTTCATATTGTACAAGATGCAACACTGACAAGATAGCGAAGTTTCAGATGTGTTGGTTTTGATCATGTTAGTAACTTCAAACATGAACATGGGAAATTCAGAAAGGCAAACTAGCACCTCACTGAGACTCACTCCACTCTGGTCTATAAATCATGATAAACAGTGCTGCCATGCCAATTTGGATCTTATAGCTTCTATGCTTCCCTCCCTATAAAAACACTCACAGAGAATAATATCTCAAACCTCCAATGTTCACCTTGTGTGCATGAAAACATTTATGATCTTGGTTTTCACACAGCCACAGACTCCTTGTCATCCAGTAACAAACATGATATTTCACCATCGGTTCAATGTCTTTCTCGACTGAACGTGGATGAATTGTTGCACTTACAGTGTAAGTAGTCCGCAAGGTCACCCCCATTGCAGTACTGGGATTAGAAAGAGAGGGAGAGAAGAAGGGAGGGGAAATGAAAGAGAGAGAGAAGCAGACAGAAAGGAATCACATTAGAAAACACAAGTAATAATGACGCCTGATGTGTAAACACAGATAATACGTTTTTGATGGGGTCTCTGAGGGGAGCAGAGGGATGGAGGAGAAAACTGACGACTGTGTTACAGATTTAAAACCTTGCTCTGATTCTCAGCATTAATGTGAACGAATCTGAGGACGGTTTGGGATATGACAGGTGTGGCTCTGAAAGGCTGCATCACAAGCCATTTTCCTTTTCTAAGAGTTAAACACGAAACAATGAAGATGGTAATAAATCAACCTTAAACACTCTAAATGCATCTGCTGTTTCTTTCAGGTTTTATTTATATCTGTGTCATACTTCTGTATTTTTTATCATCTGCAGCCAATTGAAAACATTGAGTGATATAAAAAAGTACACGTGGCAACATGTAAATATTCTTCAAACAGACACAATATTTACCAAGTGAAAGTCAGTTTCACTCACTGTTTACTTTGCTTTTATAACTTTATAATGTGGAGCCTTGGAAGACTACCACCCCATTGGGGGAGGAGAATACAAAAACTGATAAGTAACAGTGTGAGAGGAACGATCTAAAATGACTGAAACCATCTTTAAGAACAATACTTTGACATTCACTGTGAGTTTTTAGTTTGGTCCATGTCCCTTCCACTAACATGGAGGAAGCAGGATTGAGGAACCTTTACTGCAGCCAGTAATAGTCGCTTCACTTTAAGGAGTCATCATGTCGTCCATCTTTAAGCAGGCTAGAAAAACTCAAACTCCAGTTAGAAGATATGTTAAACAATATAATTCTCTCTTTGGCTCTTGACCAGTGAAATGGAATATGGTGAAAGCAAATAAACATGCAGCAGTTGGACTGCTGACTGACGACCCTTTACCCCCCCTTGATGCCTGAGGACACAGCTAATTATAGCCCAGGCCCTGTCAGAGCTGACAATACAGCTGCTCGGCAAACAAAGACCAACATCACAGCAAGCTTACCTCCATTACCAGGTACACAGAGCTGGCAGTTTCCTAAAGAGAGGAAAGAAAAGAGGGGGGTGTAAACAAACACATGTCAGTGACAGACAAAGCAAGGAGCAGGAGGCTGACCCTGTCCGGGTTAACGAAGCTGGTGGTTTGGAGGAATAAACAATAGCCTGAAGGGGTCGCAGAGAAAAGAAGGATTAAAGAGGGGGATTAGAAAAAGGAGAGTGAAGGGCAGATGCTGGCTACTGGTCTGATAACAAAAATTCTAATTTCGTGAAATGGAATGGTGTTGTGTTATACCTCCTCACAGTTGTGGCACAATGCATATATTGATATGTATATTTGTCTTTTGTTATATTACTATTGATGGCGACTATGAGGCGCTAATTATTGATAATCACTAATTAGCTCTATCCCAGACTCAAGAAGAGGCCTGTTGTTTGCTGACTCTACTGAGAAGTGTGACAACAACAACACAGAGTTCTACATTCGTGCCGAGCCAAAAACAATTAGGGAATCGGAGCAGTTGGCTCGGCTGACAACGGCATTATCAACACAATGGGCAAATCAGGGAGAGAGCGAGTGAGAGGTGCTCAACTATCCAAAATGTTAACTCGTAAACTCCCACAACGACAAAGACGAAGTGAAAGGGCATGGATTTACAGCACTGAGTTAGAAGCAACTCGTATAACATCTGTTATTTACTTTGTTTTACGATCCTCGCTAACAGAGGATCTGAAAAACAAACAGTGCGGCCTTCCTCTTATCACATGGCAACAGATGACTGACGCTCTGACCTCATCTCTTGTTGGATCCACCAGCCAGAGGCCAGAGTGTCTCTGTTGTTCAGCTGAGTCAGGCCTTCTCCAGTTGGTTGTCTTTTTTGTTTTTATTGCAGATGGACGGCGACCAGGTGTCTGGTTCTCCACAGGCCGTCTCTCTGCACCATGACTTGCAATAAAATACAAAGTTCAATGCACAACAGTGAAACTGTGTCACTTTCGAGGTTGCAACCATTTCCTGGTTCAAAAGGTGCAGTTTCCTCAGTGAGGGTTGCACAGGGACTCTGTTTATAAATGAGTGAAGTGTCTCTCTTAAATAAACATAACGTTATAACCTCCGCTCAGTCGATCCATCTGCTATTTGCTCTTGTCTTTCAAAACCTGTTTTGAAACAGGAACTTGTTGCATGGATAGGTTACACCAGCGCTCGATTACAACTCTGAGAAAATTCAGCACAACCCAAACAGTCAACTCTCTAAAGTACGTCTGAGTCACTTTGTGTGAGACAATCAGGGGACATTTGAAAAGTTTAAGCAAAGTAAAAATGGTCTCTGGTGTCCACTGCTTGTTTTGGTTTCAGTTTCCTCCTGACCTAGTGAGACAGGACTTTCACACTCTCTACTGCTGAGCGACGACAAACCTGTAATCTTAGACAGCAGCTCAGAGCATCGTCCAGAGAAGCGACACTGTGACTGGGCATAAAGATAAGAGACGAGTATTTTGAGGTCGTGCATGAACAAATACATTATTGCAGAGATAGTAAAGAGGAGCTCTTGGGCAAAGCAGTTAAATCCCTATTTTCCCCCAATTCAACAATGTTAGTTAATTAGTCACGACTTTACTGTTCGTTTCTTTGCCCGGTGACTAAGCCCTCTGATGCTGAAGATAAGAATACGTGATGAAACATCAACTTGAATCAATATAATAAATCTCGGAAACCTGCATCATCTGCAGTTGGATTGTGTTTACATTCCTTTCAACACATTAAACAAAGACATTTGTTCGTAGGAAGTTTCTCCATAAGCAGAACCGCCACCGCCTGCAACTGAACCCTGATAAGCACAACCTGCTTGTTACGTGATTTTTGACGAGATGGCAGAGATTACAAAGACAAAAGAGGCACCTGGTGGGTTAAGACAGGTACTTATGTGGAGGCTGTGCTATCAGGAAGGGGTGCCACAGGGCAGCTGGTTACTAAGACACAGGCAACAACATCGCTGTGATTCTGGATTCAGTTTGTTCACTTTTTTGTGTTTGCACCTAATCATGTGATCTGAACCCTAAGCACATGCCTTGTTCCAAGAAAAGAGGAGTAAACACTTGAGCAGAAATGCCTGAGGCAAGCGAAACATAAAGACACTACACTTTCCAGAAAGCCCTCATCGAGAGGAGCGGCAGGGTCACAGCCGTGTAACTGCAGACAGAATGTAAACACGGGGGGGTGGGGGTGATGATGATGACAGACTTCAACCTGACACAAAGTCTGAAGTACTCTGAAACTTTTACAAGGATTCGCTGCAAATGCAAAAACAGAGAGGAAACGTGCTCGAGCAGGATGAAACAGAGAGAAATGCAGAAAGGCCTCATTTACATGAGTCAAAACAAAACTATTTAAGCTGCATGAGACAGAAGTGGGTCACATCCGCCAAACCATCTGCTCGAGTTGAGAAAACTGGGACAATAAAAGGTGCAAGGATTATATGTGTAAACAGACGTACCTGAAAGTCCAGTAATGCCACAATGTTTTCATGTTTCAGTTCCTGCAGGAAGGACAAGAAAAGCCATTGATGTGCATGTACATGTGAGACTTTAAAAGAGACGTCCAGCAGCCATTTCTTCTCCCACGTTGTTCCTGGGACACTTGAACATTTGCTTTCATGATGAAATCTCCTTGTTCAGGGAGAAAACCACGCTGAGATAATCACTGCTCATATTTCACTTTAACATCTGGCTGCTCTCCAGGGCTGGACGTTAAATTCAAAACAAACAAAATATGGTGCTACCACACAATCAGCCAAATAAAGTAATAAACACTTTATAATACTTGGAACTATCACGGTGAGCTGAGACATCAGTCACGCTGAGGTTTAACACTGCTCGAGGACACACTCTATTGTTTAATTTGGCCCTGGGTACCATTCTCAGTGTCTTAAGCGTTCCTTTTATTGTTTAAGTATTTATTTTATAACAACTTGAAACCAGGGAACTTACCTTGAGTATTTTGATCTCTTTCCCCAACAGGGTCTGGGATTTGGCCAGGTTCTTCTTGTTTATACATTTTACTGCCACCTCCCAGTCGTGTTTCTAGAAGCACACGACACAAGCAAATCTTCATTTTTGTTTGGATTTGACAAAAGCAATGCACGTGTGCGTTGTCTGTGCTTGGTGAATGAAAACCTCATATCCTGGTGATCCATCAAAACAATGGATTCTATCACTTTTAACATAGAATGATATATTAAGTATGGAACTAAAGCACATGTGTGTTGACTAATATTGATTACTGGTCTCTATCTGCTTCTCTCCTTTATGAAATGTGATTCTGGCTGAAATCAGACAGGAGGTCTAGTTATAAAAAGGCCGTTTTGCAGCATGTGACTCTCAAACAATTACTTTAACGCACATTTAACTGTATTAAATTGTGTAAATATTTCAATATGTGTCATCCTCTAATGTAAATGCAATATATCCTCAATGCAAATTTCCAAATGAAGCAACAGAGCAGCTGCAGGCCTGTATTTCCTCTCTCAGAGGGTGTGATACATGATGATATCAGTGTGTAATCATATTAATATGAACTTTACATTCTTTATTTACAAGTGCAGGACATGTTTCTACATGTTATTTGCTGGCCTGCCTCATGCTTCTGGAAACAATACATGTCTGCTGGCCTATATTTACATTTGTTGAACGTGCATCATGTGCATTATAAGCCTGATGAGAAGTACAGACCCGGTCAAGGTGACAATCCTGCATTAAATATACATTTAAAAGGGAGTTTAAGTGTTTTTAGCCTTTAACTCTTTATTTTTCAGAACATCCTGTCTGGGCTGCAGGGCCTCTTAAGGCCGTACAATGAAAACAAACACAACAGATGAGGAAATAAAAGGCGATGCACCATTAACGATGCAAAGAAATCCCGTAAACCTCCTTTAACGTGCTGCAGGTTCACATCTGGGTGTGTTACAGGATGAACGTTATATTTTGACGGTGGATACTGACCTCTCGGTTTCTTCCTTTAAAGACGACAGCGAATGCGCCATGTCCTATCAAGTCTTTCCGACTGAACTCGAATTTCCCCACAGTCTCCATGTCGAGCCTCAGTCTGACGTCCTCTCTAAGACCAGCAGGAGGAACCGGGAGGCCTCGGGTCAGCTCCTTCCTGCGGGCTGAGGTGTGGGCAGCGGCGGCGGCAGCAGCAGGGATGTTCGGCCCCTCTCTCACTGGCCGTGGGCATCAATCCGTCCTCTCCTCTCATGTTCCCGCACATTACGCGCTGGAGCTGGAGTCCTACCGGGGCCGGGCGCTCGTCTCCATCGGTGACAGCGCAGCCGACGCAGGAGTTAACGAAGTTAAAAAAAAAACAAACCAGGACGATGTTTCAGAAAAATGGAGTCTGACGAGAGCTCCGCCGCTGCAGCTGTCTGTGACGCGCCACCTTAACACGGCCGCGGTTTGTTTACATCCAGGAGCTGCGCGTTCCCGCTGCGCGTTCCTGCGGCTCGACGCGTCCGATCCGCGAAACCAGCGCAGGAAGTCCAGTTACACTGAGAACTCACTACGTTCAACCACTAACCGCGGCTGTGAATCCGACCTGTGGCCGCAGCTCAGAGTCACAGCATCGATTCCCCCGAAGACACAGACGGGTGGCCAGCCGCTGACTCACAGCGCATGCGCAGCACGGTTACAGCTGGAGGTGTGGCGTCAGTTGAGCAGGGTCATAATAATAATAATAATAAAAACAACAACAATAACAATAGTAGTAATGATGATAAACATTTATAAACAACGTTACAACGTTAAAATAAGTTTTTATGGCAAATAAATCAATAATACAAGATTTAAAAAAAGAAGACCCCCAACAACGATAAGTGCTTTAATGCAATACAGATACAAATCAATCATGGTAATACAAATAAAAACATGTTAAAATGACATTTGGAAGAAAAATACATTTTAAAAAATTAGATAATTATAAAAGCATGTCGACAAGTGTAAGTTCCAGTTAAAGGTTGAAGTAAAGACAAATGTTTGAAGTTGTCGTTTAAAGATTTTTACTGAACTAGCTTCTCTGATATCTAACGTCAGTCTGTTCCACAACTTTGGAGCTTAGATAACAAAAGCTCCTTTAAGCTTCTTCTATATTCTAAAGGAACTTACACAATAAATGAATAAAATAAAACATTTTGGTCCACGAAAGAAAGAAAAAAAATCAGAAACTTACACAACAAAATACCACAAAACATATAAAAGCACAAAAGGCATTGTGTCTTTCATATCTTAATGTTTTTTCTCTATATTCTTTATCATCATGGGTTTATTTTAAGTAGGCCTGTGTGGAATATAATTATATTAATGCTGTCTGTTAAAATGAGAGGAAATAATATCTTACTCCCCTGGCTGAGGGTGAAATGGTTACCTGACAGTCATTCTTGATAAACTCACCACTAGGTGGAGTGATGGGTATTCATAATGCTCATTATCATCGTCATGAGCTCTGGAGGTGACGTGCACAGAGCAAACTATTTATCTGCTTTGTATGAAAGTGTCATTTTGGATCATTAAGCTTTTTATATTTATGACCGTCACCCCCGGGTGAAATACAGAAGAGCAGGGGAAAGTGGGAGGTAAGTCAGCCCACTGCATCTTTGGACACAGTTGAGTTAAAATCAATAAAATGGTAAGATTCTGGGACAGACACTAAGAGAGGTGGAGATGATGAGAAAGACTGGAAGACAAAACTGGAGAGAGACAAGTGGAGCAAATGGAAGAACATCAATACAATGGACAGAAAGGACAATGGGGAGAAGACAGTGAGACCTTGAGGGCTTTCATTACAACATAGAGGCCAACACTTTTACATTAAGCATGACATTTACCTGGATTGCTGCCATTTTGAGTTTTTCTCTGCGTCCAGAGGAGAAAACACTGAGTGGTGATGGAGAGATGGAAGAAGAAAAGAGGAGGAGGAAGGAAGCGAAGTACAGGGTCGAGACCTATAATCTGTTCAAAACCAATCACAGCCCTAACATGCTGGACTTGAACCAATCACTCGAAGTCGCTCCTGATTGAAATAAAAGATAAAGAAAAAGATGAACTTTTATTTATTTTTTTATCTGTGTACCATTTCTAGTCTGAGGGTCTGTTTTTACTTCATTTCTGTCTTTCACTTCCTCCTCTGTATTGACCAGAGACATGTTGGCCTACTTAGGATTTGTTTCCCCCACCAGGACCAGTAGATTTATCTTCTCCCTATTTGTGATTAAAGCAGTAATGTAAGTTGAATCTGGTTCATCTGTGATTTCAGTTACTGTTTCTTATCTGCACGGTTTCTCCCTGATCACGACCTTCAACCTGGTCCTGGATATTAGGACAAACCATTAATTGTTTCAAAATTGGGAGGCAAAATCAAATACTAACATATTTTTGTGTTTGTGTGATTGGACGAGTGGATGCATTTGTGATGGCCACTACATCTATATCCACTGTGTTTGATTAAATGATAAATGATAGATTATCTACATATGGAGCTTTTCTAATCTTATCAAAGCAACATTCACACACAGGTTTATGCTTTTTCTATCACACACTTCCACCACTGTCAGTTTGAGGCTAAGCAGCTTGCCTGAAGAAAACTTCAGCATGCGTACTGGAGGAACCGGGGATCGGGCCGCCTTGTGCTTAGTGGATGACCCGCTATACCTCCTTGAAAGGATTTGTCAAGGCAGAAAGCAAGTATACTATCAATATCAATTAATGAAAATAATAAAATCTGTAATATTTCCGAATGTGGATCTTTTGACGGATTTCTCCAAACACAGAACAGAATGAAGCTGTTGATGTGTGAAGAAGTTAATGGGTTTGTATTCAGTATACTTTCTGTATATTAAACCACCAGAGGAGGGAAGTAGAGGACTAGGAGTCTAGTTTGCAAACACTGATATGAAAACATCAAGGAAAACCAGAAATCTTAAGTCCTTTTCTCAACTTTCCATTTGTGTTATCTCACCCTTTGGATATTAGTTTTCCTTAAAAAAAAACATTCCCTCAGTAAATGTTGTATAATCAGTGACAGTATCATGGAATAAATTATACCTGGAAACAGAGTGGGAAGTTATTTAAACATCTTTTTTCTTCAACATCACATTCTCTGCCTTCTCTCAGTCAGTCCGATAACAAATGGGCTCCTGCTACTGCACCTTAGCAGATAGGAAGTTCGCTGACAGCCAGTTATTTTATAATGCCGATGCAGTACTGTCCAACAGCACTGTTTCCCCCTATCATAAATTTAGTCATGGTAGTTTCCCTGAGCCAAGAATCCAGCTACAGTCACAGGTCTGCACAATGATGTTCCGCTGACAAGCCACGGCTGCATTTATTTATGTATACAGAAAAATACTGATTCAGTTTTTCACTCTGCTGCTTTTCAGTGAGTGTTTTAGTGTGTCGGAAAGTTTGACTACACAGCGACAGTTGGCATATTTTGCTGCGAGCAGCCCACCAGCCACTGTCGCAGGTGTCCACTCTGCAGGGGTTTGCTCCGCTTTTGAATATTTCAGAGGCTCCGTGGCTCCTACAGAATGATTGATCGGCTCCTCCTGCCCCACATTAAGTCTCTGCTGGTGGTGGTTGGTGCAAAGGACAGACTCCTATAGCCGGCATCGTCCTAAAATACATGCAAACAAGTAACACATGTATATCACATGTCTTCTATCCACAATCAGACCTTCACATACACTAAGAGACATTCACACTAACTACTCGTACACACGCACATTCACCTCTCTCTATAGTTGTAAGGACACTCATTGACATAATGCATACCCTGGCCTTTACCCTAACTTAACCATCCAAACCCCCTAACCCTAAACTAAACCTAATTCCAACCCTGACTCTAAAACCAAGTCTTAACCCTCAAACAGCCCAGTGCTTTTTTGAGGACCAGACAAAATGTCTTCAAATGTTGAAATGTCCTCACAATGATGGCATTGAACCAAAATCGGCCCTCTCACACACACACACACACACACACACACACACACGGGTACCTCAACTCATCAGATGAATGCAAGGACATAATGACCTGTTTTATCTGTGTGCGTGTGATGCATTTAACGACCACTAATGATGACTCAAGGACGGCCAAGCATGTGATAAAACACCCAACAGATAGAAAATAATATTAATAGAATATAATGCTATAATTTATAATCTCATGGGATGATGTTGTTTTCAGTGTATGGATACATTCTGCATTTAGAATGAAATAAATGTGAATTGAGTGTTTGTGTTTACACACACACACACACGCACCGAGTAAACACTGCAGAACCCTGAAGCCCCCGCTGCTGCACAAAGAGCTGTTCACATGTTTATTCAAAGCTTGACGCAGCATGCAGCATGTTGTCGCTGCCTTTTTCGTGAGTGCTGGTCGTCTGTTTAGTCTGAGTTTATTTTTGTCAAACATAATTTGACTCGACACTTCCTTGGGCCCTAAACAACAGTACACACGGTGAGTTTTGAGATCGATAAAAATAAAAGTTTCTCGAGATATGCGAGTCACATTTTAAAAATAAATATTCTTACATCTTTACAGACATATTGACATGTTGTTCCTCGCTCTGAACATTTGGAGCGACATTAATATGACATTATTAATAATTTTGAAATGAGGCAGACATCTCCATCCATCATCACCCGTCACTTAGCTGACACCAAGCACTGTGGCATCGCTCCCTGCATCTCTTCAGACTAAGATCAACACATTTACTCTCCACTGCTGAACGGTGGCCAATGTTTTCATGTAGATGGATCGCTGCAAACCCGGCCATGAAGGTCACTGCTTTTTCAAGCTCATCCCAGCGCTGAAATGAACTTTAAAGACTTGATCAGCATAATAGTTTTGTCTGCACACCGCATTGCTATGCTGAAGCCTGTGATTCCCGCCAGTAGGTCATGCCAGATAATTAAAGTGAGAAGCAGAAGGAAATTCAATACACTCTATTACAACTAAGGGAGCCTTGGACTCAGGGGAGACCTTCGTATTCATAGATGTGACGTAACGGATAAAGCATCAAGTAGCTCTGAGTCACTGTGGAGACACAACTCCTTAAATCTATCATGCAGCGCTGACTTCAGTCGTCTTACATAACAGATCACTATGATATTCCCGTGGCTGCATGAAGAGACACCCTGTTAAATGCTTTTTAAACGACTGGTCTGTCTCCACATCCCTTGACCTGTTCTCTATTCATGGTTTGACTTTAAGAGATACTTGAGCACAGAGTCAGAGTCAACACAACTTTTATCTTGTTATAAATACGACCAGCGAGACTATGAGGAATCCATTTTAACGGGTGCAGTGCTGTGGAGCTGCTTAGTCTGTGGTAATGCTGGTTGCAGAGATCAGATCATAATGATCTAACAGGCCAGTTATTATTGCTGGTCCCTGATGTAGTTTAGCCGAGGACGTAGATGACATGTTCTACTCAGTCGCCTCAAAACTATCGGAACTATCTCTGCATCTTGTTGGTTTTGTTTTGTGAGCACTGATGAGTCACGCTTGTTACTTGTTGGATAATTAATGAGAAACGGTGAGTTTTTGGAAAGTCGTGTGCTGCTGGATTTTAATCTCGTTCTCTGGATTAGGGGCCATATCACATGAGAAACAACCTGAAAGTCCTGAGGGATCAGGCCTTGATTTTTTGAATTTGGCCTGTCTGTGATAACTTGCAAAGTAATATTGAAACTATTGACATTAGGTGTAAGTCAAAACTTGTTTAGGTGGTCTACTTTTATTTGTAGCTTGAAGTACCTACTTGACATTTGGGTTTCATACGTTGCTTGTACCATGTTTCATCAAAGTGACGTCTCTCTTCTCCTGCACCGTCACTTCTCTGTCGCACCAGTTCATTAAAAGTGGAGCTTAAGCTTCTGCTCAAACCTCTGAAAAAGGAACCTTCCTTCCTGCTGTTTCCCCTGACGTGTGTGGGCAAGAGTTGAATTCAATATGACCTTTGGTGGAATGTGATGGCAGAGAGCTGCCAGAGCCCGGACTGACAAGTCTGCCGAATGCTCGTCTCACCACAGCAGTTTGAAACGACTCCTTCTGACTCCTGAGTCCCCCCCCCACACACAACCTCACACCCCCATGCATCAGCGAGGAGCTTGACTCATGACAGCGTCTCTCTCACACAGTGCAGTGACTGTGGGAACAAATGCACTTTGGTGCATGGACACACACGATTACATATACAAACTGTCCAACTGTGGACTCCACAGGTCAGTTCATCTACATTTCATCTGTCAGCTGAGAGGTCTCTGGTGTGAGGTGAAGAAGATTTAGTTTTTTCACATTCCTCTGATTGCAGTGGATCCCTATTGAGAGAGTCCACCAGTTACTTCTACAGATGTTAGCCACATCAGTCCATATGTCTTTAATCCTGTCTGTCTGTGGACCTTTCTGTCTTTCATTTTTTGTCGTTTCATTTTTCTGTCTGCTTTCTTTCTGAAACCCAAACTTCATCATCAGAGCTGCATCAGTGGTTTCATTGTGAGTTTCACTGCATAACATTTTGATTATAGTTTATTTTTACCTCCATGTAGAAGGTTATTTTATTCATCTTCACTGGTTTGTTCATTATTTCGGAGGATAACACAAAAACAACTGAATTAATTCATGGATCTTGAAGGAAAAGTCATATTTAGGGACTGATATCAGCTTGACGGAATTTAAGGGGAATGTTGGGCCTCAGTGGAGGTATACACATTGTTTTTTTATTTTTCTGTATGTTCTTACTAAAAGCTTTATCATAAGAGCTGTTTAATGACAATAACCTATTATAGATTACACTCCCCTTATCTAATAGCTGTAGTAACGCCAGTATATACACACGTGGAGTTTTGTGTTTGCTTCAAACATCAGCTCAAACAGGATCAGTTGGACGAGCGGCTGATAAGTGTGCCGTCTCGCTGCCTTCGCCCCCAGGAGCAGGTGCTCTCCCGGTGGCCGTCCAACCACACCAGTTAATTAACACCACTCAAGTGTGTCAAGAGGAAGGAAGAAAAATGAGTGCTCTTAGTGGTGTCACACCCCGACCTGCACCGGCAGACAAAAGGGAGATGCTCGGGGAATAACAATGAACACGTTTCAAACTAACGTGGTAATAAATTATGAGAATTCTGGGAGAAAAGGTGTATTGAAAAGCACAACAGATGTACAGGCTGTTTACAACCACACACAATGGCAGGTGTAATTAATGCACATAATCTCAGGGCTGCAGAACTGAAAATGCACTTGTAAATAGAAGAATAAACTTTCTATCAAGAGGGTCACTGCAGTAAACACAGTGATTGATGCTTTTTACGTCCGCCAAGGAAGTAATGTTTTCCTCAGCATGTGTTTATTTAATTATTTTAAATTTGTTACTTTGCAGGATTACGCAAAAACTACAGAACTGATTTCAGCCATTTGGACCTTGGCGGATGTCTCTGAATGCTCTTCAAGTTAAACATATTTTGCAGGAAAAGAGAGTGAAGTTTGGTTGTTCATTATTTGATGGAGGTCACCTTCACTTTCAACTTCTGTAATTTTTGTAAAAGTGAGTGAGAGCAAAACCTGTGACTGACATCGAGCTCCGGTTCAATGTTCCCGACCACTTACTTAGTTTTGACCTACAAATCACTTCCATCTTCAACCAAGCATCACAGCTTCTCTCTCTCTCTCTTTCTTTATATATATAAATATATATATAGCTTTCCACCAGCAAACCTGTTCATAGAGCCAGACTGACCTGATGTGGTCTGCATTCCTGATGACCATTTAAGAGTAAACATGATTTAGGAGATCAGGTGAGACAGACTGTGTCTCCCAGTTCGTGTGTGTCATGTCACGTCCATCCGTCTTCCAGCTCGGGCTCCTTTTGACACTAATTAATCACACACTCAGCCCACACAGCTGAAAGACTGAGAACGCTTGATGGACTGAAAACACGTGACCACACTACGCCGATAAAGTCATCCAGGTTCTTTTATTTTTCTACAAAAATATTTTACATTAAAAAAACCACAGCTTGAAATATACACAGCCCACCTGTTTTTTTTTTTGCAGAAACCATGGAATATCTCAACTCAAATATATCTGTGTCTATATTTAAACTGTAGGTAAATATATCTGCAAGAAGAATACTGTAAATCTATCCTGTGAGGTCTGCGAAGGACGTCACCAATAGGAGCTTGGATTGACGAAGAGAAAGGCTCAGTGAACGATAATCTGATCGAAGCAATATGGAATCACAATCTATCCATATTTATTACCAAAAAATACAACAAAACCAAATACTGCCTCCGATAATGGCAGCGAATGTTGAAATGATGAATTTGTGGAGATAGAGCGGTTCTTTAAAAAGGCGGGAGAACAGGAGAGGGATTACAGCGAGGATAATGACGTTAAAGGAAAGTCTGGGACCTGATGTCGAACAGGAAATCATTCATTTGTCTTCACTTCCCAACATCCCAGTGTGAACCTTTCTCCGCACTGGAAGGTATTCACCTGTCTGACTGTTGATGCCGTTCATCTTACCTGTCGACATCCCAGCATGCCATTCCTGAGTCTTCCTGTCCACATCCCATGGGGCCTTTCATCTGTAAACCTAGCTATCTAGAAACTCTATATCCCAGCATACCTTTCACCTGTCCTGTTGCATGCGAGGCTGTCTGCCACCCGTCAAACCACAGGATCTATGTTTCTAAATGTCACTCTTTGCCCTGCTGTAAGTCTTCCAGGCAGCTCCTCCTGACGGACTGATTTAAAGTCCTGCCTCCTTGTTTAGGATTGATGGACCCGAACCCCGACCATGACCAAAACCTCAACTGTAACCAACTTCACTGGTGAATGCTGGGAGGCAGTGAGCAGCTTGGCGAGGAGGTTCCGCTCACCAGGCGCCGCTTAAAGCAACAGACATTACAGAGAATACGCTTATTTACTTTGTTGCCTTAACTTATATGAAATAAGATCAAGAGATTTAAAAAAAGGCCACACCCAGGATTGGGTTAGCTTGGCTTGACATAAAGTCTGGAAACAGAGAGAAACTATAGACTGTAAAGATGGACCATATGGTAGCTCCCCAAAAGTGAAGCCAAATCATCTTGAATGCCCCCTTGTGGCTGGCTAGGGTATAGGCCCTGTTTATCCACATGTTGTTTTGCAGTAATATTAAACATGTATTAAATAGTAATATTAAACATGTATTAAATAGTTATATTAAACATGTATTAAATAGTAATATAAACATGGATTTCCCCCTTGTTTCCAGTCCTCATGCTGGGCTAAGCTAACCAGCTCCTGGCTGCTGCTTCGTATTTAGCGTACAGACATTAGAGTTCGATCTTCTAATCCACCTCTCAGCAACATTTTCTTGAATTCCTTCAAAGTAAAACCAGACCTTTTTACCTGTGTCTATCTGCTTACATCCCACAGTGCCATTCATTATTGCTGTAAACTTGTACATGAAAAAAGTAAATATCATTGGTGCTGTTAGAATACTGTTAGATTTAAAGTGATCATATTAAATCCCGATCATCAATTAGTTTTCCTCTCAGAAACAGTTTAGTCAGTTGTGATTCTGTGTAACTAAGTTTGTAAAGGATGGTTCGAGCACTGTCGTTGTCAGTGAATTGACGGCTACTAGGGATACCCTAGTATAATAACATGAGAACTGTATGCACTACCCATACTGGAGTGGAAGGCGCTTGAGATGACACCAAATGGCATGTGAAATAAATAACAGCGAAACAACTGCAGAAAACATACCGATTGATATTTATATGAACAAATGTTAGAGTCTGTATTTCATGTCCCCTGGCCCTCCACTTTAGAGTCTGTCTCTTGCACCTCAGCTTGAGAACTTTGTCCCGTGCTTTGGTATCATAGCAGTTCGGAGCTGAGGGCCAGCGAGAGCGTCCAGAGTGGTGGCAGCAGCCAGAGGGGAGAAGGGGAGGGGCGGGCGCCCAAAGGCGAGGCGGTGTCCGAGGTGCAGGAACACACCTCGTACCCGTTCTCCGCGTGGTCCGGGTGATGCTGCACGTTTCCTTTCGTCTCCGTGCTCTTGGGCTCTGCGTCCGGAGAGTCCGACTGCATCTCCGTGCACAGCAGCCAGTCCTTGGCGATGAGGCGGGGGTACCCTGCCTCCACCTCCATGCCACTGCCCGGCACTTTCCAGTACTCCTTCCCCTTGAAGAAATAGGACGAGCCTTCACAGAGAGAGAAGAGAGAGAGGGCTGGTGTTTACTTGTACTATGAGACACAGACATGTCCATCCATTATCTATTTCACTCATCCTCTGGACAGGACACCAGCAAATCCTAGGCCGACATAGAGAGCTTCCTTACACCCAAATGATCAGGTATGTGCAAGTTTTTTAAACACGGGTAAACTTTTTATAGAAATGTGTTTGCCTCCATGTATTTTTCTCCTGGTAAAATCATGTCTGACTGCAGGAGCTCTAACTTTGCTGTCTTGCCAAATTAGCCGGATGTCGTGCTTCCATCATGGAGATAATCAGAACCTTTGTCTACAGCGGACTCATCATACCGGTTGTACCCAATGAAGACGGGAGAGCACGCAACATCCACACAGGAAGACCCCGATCGAACCATGATTCTAATCGTGAATCTTCTTGTTGTGAGAGAACCAACCAATGGAAAACAAGTCAATACAATAACAAATGTCACACAATCAGCCTCTCCCACCCAAACATTATGGACATTTTGTATTAAAATACAGCAAACAGAAATCTACGTGCAAGCTTGTTGAGAAAGACAAATGTATAATAACAATACGAACGCTCTTCTGCTCCCTCCTTTAACTGATTTCTCTCTCCCTCCAGAATTGTTCTTATCACTCCAATTCTCTCATCTCATCATCTTTCATATCCATCTCATAAACCTGTGATTTCTCAGGGGCTTCTGTCTCTTTAACACTCCTCTCTCTCACTGCTCACCGTCACTTGTCACTTCATCTCACGCAGAGTATACGCGGGCCGTTCTTTTCTTGTATAGAAATGGGGTTTGGGCTCTTGAGCGGAACCTGCGAAGTTGGCAAAAGCTCAGACACAACACAGACCTCCTAACACCTAACAGGGAGAAAAGCTCCTCCAGACGTTCAGCTGGGAGCTGCTGCCGGAGAGAGAGAGGTGAAGCTGTGCCCTCCCACCGAGAGCGACCTGAAACAAGGTCTGAGCACCTCCAGCTAATCAGTTGTTTTTGTTCCAGTATTAACGTCTACAAGTGCTTTATCAAACCTTAATGTGGACAAGGAGAGGGAGTTTTCCTCTGAGAGGACTCGCTGGGTAAGAGCTGCTAAAACAATGTGAGGTAAAGTAAACATTATTAATCCCAGTGGGGGAACATGTCCAGAGTGTTTGACCTATTATAATTGCTCAGCAGCAGCAGCAGGGAACCTCCTGAGGTCCAACTCCAGAGCCAAAGCTCAAAGGAACACGCTGATATGATAATTTTAAATGGTCGGGCAAATTTAATCATAACATATCATATTATATCTAATTATCTACGGTTTTTCAGTTATAAAATGGAATGGATCTCTCAAGTTAAACCACATCACTGACCTTTTAAATTGAACAGGATCAAGAGTCATCACACTGACTTGAAGTATACTTCACTTTAGCACCTTTGACCAATAACAACTATTTAATGAAAAGAAGAATCATGTTCCTTGGATTAAAGAGACAACAGAAAAGAAGAGCACAATATTTAATATCAGCTTCAAACACCAGAGCTATTTGATTTGTGAACTGCCAGTAAGATTAAAAGTGGGACTAATACTGTCATTTCGAGATTTATGTGAAAGATATATGTAAAAATAAAATAGGTTCAGATATCATTAATGTTTTATGTTATTCTGCACCCGAGTCAGGAGTAAACACAAATCTTTAGTTGTTTGAAAACTTAGTTTGCAGATATTAATTTACTGCAATAAGATGAACCTAAATAGAAGCAATGAAGGCCATTTCCACTGCAGGGACACATTTTTCATGCGTTGAGCAAGAAAATAAATCTAATATTATTTGTGACCTTCAGAGCGAAGGATAACAACTGTCTTATTGATTAATTTCATATTTTGGGACTCATTAGATCTCTACTATTGTCCCCCACATCCTCCTGTGCAGCTCAGTGATTAAATCCAGTTATGAAAAAGGCTCTCGGTTTCGGCCTATTTAGTCCGGGACTCTAAATCTCAGCGAGCTTATTAATAAACTTTTCAACTTCCGACTCTGGGAGAAACATCGGAACAAATAAGCTGCAAACAAAACAAATAAATGATGTATGCACTCAAATGATGTATGTATTGTGTATGCAACTAAAATATCAAGAAGAAGACAAGATGCATCAGTGTTTCATCAAAACACTGAGCCTGCATAAAACTGTATTCACACAAATTTAATGTGGGTTGGTGGGTGGTTAGGAAGCTGGGTACGTAGGTAGATAGATATGTTATTGATCCTGAAGGAAAAGGAAACATGGAAACAAATCCAAACATATATTGTGCATAGGTAGTTTTAATGGAGGCAGTATACTGCTGATGCTTAAGATCAAGGAGAAGGAGAGAGATGGGAAATGGAAGGAAACACACACATCAACACACACCATGAGATAAATATGCATCAGATTAAGCTTTACGTTGGTATTTAATTGTTCATTAAAATTGTTGTGGGTAAATATTGCCTTGGGCTTTCTTAAATGAAAAGTCTAATTTATTTTGAGGAAACTATATCACTCACTTGGACACTGTGGTAAATGTCTGATAGTGTTAATTTATACATGCAGGAAATGAGAAAAGCTTAAATGAGAGATGAAAGATTAACAATTCTTCTAAAAGATGAGGCGAAGCCTTGCAGGAAAAAAAATCTAGATCTAACAGGACTAAAAAAAAAAGTTTTGTGCTTCCTGAGTCCAACATGAACTGTGACGTAGAACTTTCCCTTATTGCAGATCAACGCTCATAATTGACCGACTTATATTTGGGAAAGGTCGCCAGTGACTGATGAGGACTTTTTCCAAGTTAATGTCAATCGCTGTTTAGTGGGCGACCATATGTCACAAAGCTACGAGCCAATTCGAGGCCGTTACCGAGAAAACAAGATGCGTGTCGTCCATCTGGCGCCGACACTTCCTCCCTGATGTGTTTCAGAAATTACACTATAATTATATTCTGGAACCTGTTTAATTATATATGAACAGAAGGCAATGGCCCCGCTGCCACGATCAAACACCACAAAGGTCTACTTTATCAGGCTGATATGTTTGGAAATGCAAAGCCCTTCGGAGGCTCTAGTTGTCCCCATTTCTCAGATATCAACGATATTTGATCAACGTCGTTTGATCATTTTACACATGGTGGTTTCAAAATGCAAGCATGAATTAGGGATAACTTGATGAAGCAAACGTAAACCTTACAGAGCAGTATCATCTGATTTCAGCCACTGAAGCAACAAGACCAGCTATAAACATTAAGATCATCTATGATCCAAAACAATTAGCCAAAAGACGATAAAATGCTCCATAGAGCGGAGTCGGAGGATTCATTCAGCAAACTTTTAATCTGGGGATATTTGAAATTATTTTATATTCTTAAGTTTTTCGTCTGTCGAGTTTTCGTCTCACTTTCAGAGAAGTTTGGGGCATAAAAACATCTACTCAAAATGAAAATGTGCATATAGTGTGTGCATGAGGGATGGAGGCACTGGAGGTTGAATGCTGTAAGGTAATTTAACTGACACTGATGCAGATACAGTGAATCTGAAGGGCAGTTTGTGAATGGAAGTTTCTTTCAATTGTTTTTGTTCTTGCTCTGGCGCCATTCAGCCCTTTTACAACCCCACCGTCTGCTCGGCCATTCAAATGACAAACTTCGGTTCTACCTCGGAGCCGGGCGGCGCTGTATCAGAAGATGGATCTGCAGAACTGGATCAGGATCGACTGCGAGACATCGATTGTGCTCGGGTCAATGCCGGGGGAATGTCCTGCGGTGGGACCTCCTAAATTAGATTAGTGGTCGTGTCATGCCGGTGTTTTTCAGACGGTGCGCTCTCCGTGAATCTGACTGACTCGGCTGAGTTCGCAGGGGCAGCATGGATTAACAAGAGGAGACCAGCTTGTGGATTTATAACAAGCAACACGGCTCTCCGCAGCGTTTGCAGCGTAAAGGTCAGGGCTCTTGTTGGCAAGCTGAGCTGCTAAGTCTCACCATCTCTTTCTGCTACACTGACTTATTGTCTGTAATCTAAAAAAGTTTGTTGTCTGGAAACTTGAGCTGCCCGTTTCCAGGAGGTCTCTGAAGGAAACACACGCTGCTGTAGATTTTATTTCCCACAACCGCGGCTCACTTTTTGTGGGCGTATATGTCATATTACCAAAAGCCTGCATATCTGTATCTGTGTGAAGTTGGTGAATAGTGTTTTATTTACTGTTATTTATTAAACACAACAGTTTAAGTGTCTTTCATATGAAGGTTGTTTCCTTCTCAAGAAGTTAATTTTACCTGAGTGACGCAAGTTTTCCCTGATTTTTAACAGCTCCCCTCAGAGTCACATAAAACTTTGTTCTCAAATTTTCATTACTTTTCCAGTGATGAAGAAATGTCTGTTTATCGCTCAGTTTCAAATGTGGTTTATTTTAAATCGAATGTCTCTCGATACGTGCAGAGCATAAAGATTTTTTAAATCACTCTGCAACTTCACCCATAAGTTTAGGTTGAAGTGCCTGGAAATTCAAAAGATGCATTTTAAACACACACATTATAAAAATGTGCTTCGAGGTAAGTTATCTAAAAGTTTCAGATGAAGGGTTCGTTTTTTAAGGCTACTCACCGTCCGACCACCTCATGGCGTCGTCCAGATGTGGCGGCAGCCCCTTCCACAGCGTGCTGTCTTTGGGGTAGCCCAGGTCCATGTGTCTCAGGTGGTCGTCGTAGCGCCAGTAGTGGTTGTCCTTGAAGAAGTAGGTTTTGTCGTTGTGCAGCCAAACAAAAGCTGCATCTAAGCCTTCCAAGGGCAGACCAAAGTCACTGATTGGACGAGGGTAACCTTCCTCCACGTTATTGTCTTTAAACACCCAGTACTTGAGGCCTGAGGGGTAAACACAAATATAATTAAAGGGAAAAATAATACCTTTGTAGTTTGAAATCTATACACCCAGTTATAAAAGTTAAAGACTTATAGAGTTTGGAGGCAGATATGACACAAGATGTGTTCACCTTTAAAAAACACAATTTTGTGGTCCCCGGGTCGCTCATACACAGCATCGATACTGTCCAGATTGGGTGGGAGGCCCCTCCAGAAACGATGGATCTGAGCCGGGCGAAGAGAAACCAAATGCTTCTCTCGAGTTAGTCGCCAAAAGTACTTCCCTGTGACAGACAGGAGCAGGTTAGAACTGTTTCATGAAATCCTTCAGGAGCCAAGTACAGGAACAATCATATCACAAGTCCTTCCACGTCCAACAGGCTTCAGAAACACTAAATGTAAAAGTGGTTTAACATTTATAATTAAAAACAAAACATAAGTTGACCTTGTTACTACATTTATCCATCTATAAAGTATAAAGAGTTAAAGAGTATAAACAGACTTCAGCTTTAGCTGATGCACAACACATATAGTTATTTTAACTAAATTATTTTCAACTTGTTTTGGCAAATGGGAGCGGTCTTGTTTTAAGTATATTGTAGCCAGACTCACAAATGAGCCAAATACATCAATTTCATTCTCAGCAGATATTAAGGCCAGACAGCTTGGCCACTAACACAACATTTTGTTTAGGCTGCAGAATATGTGATGGTGTCTGAGTCTGTGATTCGGGCCCTTGGAGCCACACATGACTTGGATTTCTATCGATTGCTGGAACCACTCTGTGCTGTGCCCGGACCCTGTCCCTAACTCATTCACTCTGTCTTACTCCATTCACCTCTTTTCCCCCCGTCACTCTCTATCTGTCAGTCTGTCTGTCTCCCTTGTTCACTCTTTACTTTCAAGCTTGAATACCTTTGAAGAAGAAGGCCTCCCCCCGAATTTGTGCCACGGCATCGAAGTGACTGGTGCATCTGTCTGGAGCGTCTCGTGCCAGACTGAGAGGGAAAAGTTGGAAGAAGGAGGAAAGTAAAGTTGGAAAAGGAAGAGTTAAATCCATTTGCACACAAAAATAACCAACCATGAGGTAACTGCACTGATCGTCTAAACATGTGGATGCATGTGCATGCTGTCCCTACAAACTAACACAGTGAGGGGCCCCAGTGCATTTATCCCTGGGCCAAATAAGTGATTTAAAGCAGTGATGTGGTTGGCCTGCCAATGATGAAGCCATTAGCACCACAGGGCGACCACTGTGAGTGGGAGGCCGCCAGCCCTTGTATTATCAACAAAGATCTCCATTCAGAGCCCTATTAACACGACACCACTGCTTAGTGGGCAGCATTCGTGACCTTTGTCAAAGTGTAATCCAGCTTTTCCCTCGCATCCCGTCCTGACGGAGGAGGTGGAAAACAAGTAATGAGGGCAGGGAAAAGCCTGATACTAGGGTAAGTGGGTTTTATACGCCTCTTCAGCTTGGAACTGTTACATAGACTTTGCATGTTTTTGGGAGTGCATGCAGGGAGGTCAGCAAGCGTTGATGTCAATGTCGTTTGAAGCTCAGTTTGATCACTTCCGGCGTAAGCTGCCCCCTGTTGATCGCTTTAATTCACTATATCAGAGTGTGTGAACTCACTGGCAACGTCTCTGCTTGAGTTAAATCTACATGATTAACTCGGTGCTAAATTACACAATAATTAAAGGAGTTGTAACTCTGCAGGATAGAAACGGAATGATAGTCTTTTTTCTGGTCCTGATTGTATGATTGAGGCGATATAATTTGTCGTCCATCTTCTGATTCAGTTTGCGAGCCTAACTGATGGACTCCTCCAGTCTGCTGTCGCGGTATTTGATCCAGCGTGAGAAATCAATCACCAAACAGATTGTCTGAAACATTTTTATTTATAGTCAATTACTGGCTTCACTGTTTATCATCTTTTCTGTGGAGCCACCCTCATGTCACTTTGCCAATAGGGACCATTTATGGTTTGCAGAGGATGATCCCTGAGGCGATCTTACCTTCATCTCCTGTCTGCAGCTGAAACATCCACCTCTACATATCCACTCATCAGATTTATGATCCCTTGACTATTTTGTGATCACTCTTTTTCATCATTATATTCTCTCCCCTCTAATGTCCACCTCAGGCTAAATAATAAGTTAATACCCAGATGGTCATGACATTTTCAGTCACGGTGGCCAGAAGATACTGTAAAACGGAGTAATTGTGTTGATCCGTCTGCTTTTAGCACCAGAACATTGTCATGACACTGAGCACGCTGCAGCTCCTGAGGCAAACAGCCTCTAAATCACATTGTTATTAGATATTTTATAATATTTTTCAGTCCTCCTGGGGCAGTTACTCCAAAACTGAGTGTACCTGAACTGATTCCATTAAACATAATTAATACATTGACAATTTTCTTTTTCAAAATGGTGGAGGCAATTTTTCAAATAAAAAACTCTTTTCAAAAATCCTGTAACTTTTATTATTAGATCCACTTCTATAATCAACAGTTGAACAATGAGTAATTTAAAATCAATGCAGGAGCCCATTTGGAACACGACAGGTTGTGTTTAACTGACAGGGCTGTGGGGATACACGGCTCCACACAGAAGTATTTAACTTCGCCTGTCTGTGTTCATACACAGGACATTTATGACGCTCCACCCTTTTTACTACATCAGTGGACAGAATCACCTGAGGGAGGCTGGACAAGAATCAATCGTGAGCTTGTGAGTGTTTGAGCCAGGCTGTAAAAGGAGTAGATCGAATTTTGTTGATGAAGAGGTTGGAGTGGATCATTTCATGAGCTTTAGTGGCAGAATAATTGCATTAAAAAGACGCAGCATTTACTTACAAGAGAGTTGATCTGTTTTCAGGGAGGTCCAGCAGGACGGGCGGTTCAGCTGTCTGCGAGGGGTTTCCTGGTCGGTTGGTGTGGGACACCGAGTCTCTGACGCCTGAGGAGGAAATGTGATTAAAGATCAAATGAACAAACAAAAAGAAACGTGACTGTGTAATTTTCATTGATGTTCCCTCGTACCGTAGAGCTGCCAGACGCGGACCTTGTCCTCATAGGGTAGGTCGTATTTCAGAGGGTCTCCTACAGGACCCTGGTAGTACGGTCTCATGATGGACTCCATGGCGGAGGTGTGGACCAGGCCGATGGCGTGACCAAACTCATGGACAGCCACCGCAAACAGATCCATCCCATGGGAGTCTGAAGGACACGGAGAGAGAGAGGGATACAGAAGATGGATGTAAGTCAAAAGAGATCATGAAGGTATTTTAAAAGGACCTGCAGAGATCTGTTGTGTTTTCACCAGTGTCTGTTTGCTAGTTTGTTTAACATCAGAATTATATTTAAGATATTTCTAGTTCAAGTATATTACTTTATATCTTATAGTATCTATGTCTTAATGTTTTGTTATAAACTTGTGCTTGTATGTCTATTAAGAATTCATAAATAAATAAAAAAATGACGAACCTTCCTCACACTCACCTTTTGAAAATGAACTCTTATGCTTCAGAGGAAACACCAAGGTTTTCACAACCAAAACATAATCCTCACTTTTGATACTTTTCAGTTCTGTCTCAGCTTCAACTCCAGCATAGATCACCTTGCTGCTTAACATTTGTGTCTCGTGTAGAACCAACACGACCCCTGTTTGCATGTTTATCCCTTTCATGAGCGAACTCTAGAAGTTGTAACTTCAGAGGCATGACAGACAGCTCTGGTGGCTTTGAGTGCTGTTAGGCATGTGGTGTGGTGAGATAACTATGGTAATACAGCCCGAGTCCCTGGGCTGCCAATCAAAACCTGTGTGTGGAAAAAAAAACCCATCTAAAGAGGCTGCAGGTTATTAAAGCACATTCACCCTCGATGTTCGGCTAAAAAAGAAAAGGCAAAGCTTCCAAAAAGTCCTTGTCTGAGTCTGTGAAGCAAAACAAAAACCCAGGCCTTGGAGATTTAGATTTGCAAAAAGGCAAGTGCTAGCGTGTCGAGCCAAGCTGGCTTAGAGTTCCTGGGTGGCTGGGCTCAAGTCTGCGTTCTGTTAACCTCATGTCGGCCTCAACTTGGGAACATCTCGGTGTCGAGCTCTTGCAAGAGACAAAGGACAGTTGGAAACTCGCGCTTGCGCTCACAACACCTGGGAGAGTCAGAAGTAAAATGCCAACTCTAATCTACAGGAGCACACGGTGCAGAGAGGAAAGGTGGATCAAAAGAGGGATTGAGGGTGAGAGAACAAGGGCTCAGAACAAAGTAGGTACCATGTCATCTTATTTACAGGTCGACGGAAAAAAAAAAGATCCTACTGCCAGCCGACAAAGACGAAGCTGAGAAATGTGGGTCGATGGAGGAGATTGATCGAGTTGGACACCCATGAAAGAAAGAGAGAGAAGAGAAGCGAGCAAGGAAGAGAGAGAAAGAAAGCTTAAGTGTAAACAGAAGCAAAATGGAATTACTGCACTGTTCAGGGCAGGAGAAGTTACTTATACATTATAGATCTGAACTGTTTTTATGGTATTATAGGATATTGCATTTTTAAAAAAAATCTCATTACTTTGAAGCACAGTGGGTACAATATATCAAGGGGTACCTCTAGCTTGGATTTATCATGATGTATCCAGAATGCTACAAACATAGCCTGGAGCACATGGTTGAAAGTTTGATAAGGACAGCATACGGTAGATGGAAGGATGCAGGAGCACTTCTAGCCAAAGGCTATCCTCTTCATTTGATGCAAGTCCCTGTAGTGCTGTGACCTTGCATCACTTTGTATTGCAATGAGTCTAGAATCAATATCTTTTTACAAGAATATTTGATGTTTATAAAAATTCTTTGCTATGTTTAAAGAAGATTGTTAATGTTCTGGTATAAAAAGCAGTAGTAGTAACCCTACTGCTAACGCTAACCCTACTGCTAACCGATATTTTGGAATTATTTTAAAATATGACAAACTTTGATTTTAGAAGTTTGGGACAAATATTGAGGCTTCTTCATTTTTATAGAACACGTTTCAGCAGAAGAACTAATGTTATTGATTGAGCTGAAAATAGTTTCATGAACATCCTAAAAATCCATTCTGACAATATCTGCACACACAGCTGGCCCACATACATATTTTATCTCTGCTATTTTTTTACTTTAAGTGTGTGGATGCCATTCCATATATAAGATTATTGGATATCACAATGTAGGTGTTCTTTTATTCCAGGCTCTTGCACAGCTCATACTCTAACCCTGGGTTGGACCTGAGGAAGGAAAATTAGATTTCCTAAATATTTTTTAAAGCTTCTTGTCTGAACTTCACCTGGGATCCAAGTAGTTAAACTAAAATAGAAGTCAGATTCTTGATCTTAAATACATGTTATATTGAGATATGTTTGGAAATAAAAGAATTTCAACCAAAATACGTGTTCGGCAGGAATTTTTATCTGTGAAAAATAAATTAGTTGTACTCTCTGGTGGGCCTGTTCATTCTGGGTGATCCAATCACAGGTGTGAATGCACACAGATTTATCATAATTATGTTGATGTTGTGTTAAAAGCTCATTTCTGTGCCGTCCCTCGAGAGGCCAACAATCTGTCAATGCAGGTTCAAGAGACAAAACAGGCAAATTAGCAGATTATTGTCAGAGAATAAGAGGCTACACAAATCTAAAATTAAAACTGTATTTGTAGAGCTGTGGAATGAACTAAATGTCAGACTGAAAAATGACTGTGGAGTTCCGCAGTTAATTGCTATTATCAGCAGCTATTATCCTTTTTCAGTGCATGAGGAAAAAAGAGAAGATCTAAAATTCTTTCATTAGTAAGGACCTTACTGGTTTAGAGGTCCCATATTGTGAGACATTGTGAGACAAGACATTTGAACGGATGGATTTAAACTTCGAGTGTGTGAGAGAGGACCAGCTTTCCAGAAGTTGGACTTTTTATCATTGTCTGCCTTGAAAGCAGAAACATCAAACGAGACGAGATGATTCACAACCATCTTAAAAAGACGTATTTTTAACTCTGTGGCCAACTTCCACCAGACTGTCCACTGCTGAGCGTGAACGTCTTTTCTTTGTTTTAGTTCTCCGTTTAAATCATCTTTTGTCTGTGTTGAGAATGACGTTGTTTGAAGAGAGAATTAGATAGGCATCATAAAAACAAGAAAACAGCTCTGAGCCCTCCCTTCCTCCCTCACTGCTCCGCTCCCATTAATCAAACTCCCTTCTATGCAGTTAGTGCTGTAAACTACTACAGCATTAAGCCATCATGTGCTGCCACCGGCCTGCTGGGAGGTCTAATTGAAGCAGATTGAGCTGCTGCAACATATGGTTCACCGCTTCAACAGGGCAAAGGCGAGAGAATGGAGATGAACGCAGCTCCTTGCTGCGTCATGGACTCACCAGCTGCTACAGTCAGCGTCATCCGCACTCAAGACACAAGTTTTCAGCTCCATTTCCCGGGAGGAGGACACCACTAAGAGGCTGTGAGCCCCGGGCAGTCTAAGTTACAGCCTGAGGTTCATCTTTGATCATCGTCATCATTAAGGTATCAGCAGGAAAATAAACATGTGTATTATCAACACATGCAGAATACATCATATTATGTTATTAAGTAATTTTTAATGATGCATGAATGTGTTAGCATCATGTTAATGCCAAAAACGCATGAGGTGGAAATGACTTGAATCATTTTATAGTTACGTGCACTGTTTTCATTACCATTTCTTTGTGGGTTTGATTTTCTGTCCGTCAGCAGAGTTCCTCAATTACTACTGAACTGATTTCCATTAGATCTTGTTGAGGGGTGAATGGTAAACATAATAGTATTTATTTAGTTTTCCAACCTCATCGACCAGTCATGGTGCTTTACATTCACACATACATTCATACAGCGCTCCTTCAGAATGCAGACTGGAGGAGTCAGGGATTGAACCAACAACCTTTTGGTAAGTGAACGACCCTCTCTGCCTGGTGCATGACCGAAGAAATAACCTCTTAAATTTTGTAGCAGTTCCAGATAAACATTCTTTAACATGGTGACATAGGGCGTTAGATTCGGCAGAGGTATGTGCTGCCCTAGTGCCCTTATAGGTTCACATTAGCCAAAGGGTTAAATGGTTTGGGCTCATACCAGACAGGTTAATACATCTCAAGTATCAGGTCCCTGGTTTGACTCCCGACTGGCTTCACCATTTACTGCATCACATTTCCCCTGTTTCCCGTCTCTAGGCCAAAAAATATACTTTCATATGAGCATCGGACAATATTCTCCATCTTGTCCGATCCTGACGCCTTTTTAACAGACATTTCTGCACAACACTGCAGATCTCATCACTGTGCCATTGTGTCCAAATCACTCTTTTATTGACTACCATTGGAGCAGCTGTTGGCTGACAATACAGATTAGTGCTGCTCCGAGGTCTCGCAGAGGCGAATCCTTTCAGCCTTTCATTGCCACAAATCAAACCAAACACTTTACTGTCAGTTAAAAATACTTAAACCTAAATTAAAAAATACTTCTCTCTCTCTCTCTCTCTCTCTTCTTTCTTCTTCTAAATCATTAATCTGTAACGATATTTAAAAGAACAACTGCAGTGAAAACCATGTGCTGCAATCGAATACTGAAGTGGGATCAGTCAATTAACAAAACTGTATATTCTTTGTTAACTGCTAAAAAAACAATGTCTCCCAGTGGCAGATTACAACGGATTGTGTCTTTATGGCAGGTAGAGGAAATGAAATGTCACCTTTAATGCCTCATAATAAGCTCATGGTAACAATTAACCACAGTTTGATTCCCTGCTGCGTCCTGTATCAGAATTGATAGAACTAACACATTAAATATTCATTACAGAATCTGGAACATGAACAAAAGGTAGCAGCACAGCATGGCTCCGTATAACACCGTCAGCGCTCTAGTTTTGAGTTAGTAGACACCTCTGCAAACACAGAGTTTCAAACAGCGTTGGGGCGCTTGTACATTTGATTTTCAAAGCAGCCTAAGACAATGAGATTTTAACAAACACGCACTGGGCATTCTGATGACGTTTCTAAAAGGCGACGGAGGCAAAACTGGAAAAAACTAAAAGAACACAAATATCTCAGGATGAAAAAGAGGTGTCATACATGTAGAAGACCCCAAAGAAGATGTTAACACAACAAGATTCGAGAACTTTTGGCGATACAGGCCGACGCCAGTGTCGATGTCCTGTTATCAAACACGTGTGACTTCTGCAGCTTAATTTACAACTCCAGAAAATATTAATACGCAAATGTCTGGATGTTTTTCAGAGTTCATTTCTATAAACAGCCTTATAGTCACCTACATTCAGTTCTGGGAGTCTTTGTAAGACGTTTGCTAGAACATCACTCCTCCCTCACCAACCTTCCAGCGTCTACTTCCTAATGTCTATCAATCAATATGACACATGCATATTCAAGTGCATGCATACAGCACTTGACATTTCCTCACCTGGTGATCTGAAGGTCCACGCCTCGTCGTCATCAAAGTGCGTGTCCCCGGCGGTGAACCTCTCTCCAGGGAAAAACGCGTGTGCCACTGTGCCCCCCGGCCCGTCAAACGGATATCCGTCGTCATGGTCGGCTTTAGTGAAGTCGATCTGAATGTCTGCGTCGCTGCCGGCCACCTCGTGGAAGTTCAGCGGCGCGATGTCGCTCCAGACTTTCAAGGCGTAGTACATCAGGGCTCGAACGGTGTCCCTGCCCAGTAAGGCTGAATCCTTAGGGTAGGTCCTCATTCTGAGAGAAGGGAAGGAGAGACAGGGAGTGGATTAGTTTCCTCACACTTGATCTGTCATGTTTAACAAGCTGCTGAAAAACATCCTCCTCTCGAACCACATTTATCAGGATGTAGAACAACATTAGATTATTTTGGCGAAGCTTTGTGGCCCCTTTGTGCTCAACAGCATCGAGAGGGGCAGAGTTAAAAATAGCTGCAAATAAAGATGAAATAAAAGTCTGGTTTGGTCCAAACGTAGTCAAAGTGAAAGAACAATCGTTCCTTACATTTATTTTTCTGATACAGTGGAATGAGTGTGAAACATGTTTCAAATAATTTATTTTACTTTGAAAAAGTAGTTTCTTCTTTTTTTCCCCTGGTAATAGAAGATATAAGTTACTTTTACTTTGTTATTCAAACCAGATATTCCACACACAACACGAATGATTTAGACAGGAGGCCAATTTTCGTGGGGATAATATTGAAAGAGAATTTCAGACATTAAAGTGGTAAATTTATGAGAGAAGGAGACAAATTCACAAGATATTTTTTTTAATATTCTCTGTGATTATAAAATAATACATCTGAAAGAATAAAAAAGGAGAAAATCTCTGTGATGACAGAATTTTTTACATGTTGATGTTATCGCTGGTCACATCTATTAAGATGGGATTTGTAAAGTAAGGTGTCATTAATTCAGGATAACCTCATGTTTCCCTGCTTGACTCAAAAACACACCTCCCTATGACCACCTCATCTTTACGGGTCTCCCGCTCAATTCCCGACTCGTGCTCCAGAGACCACGATCAAAGGTCTGACTTCTTTAGCTCCTGCCTGAAAAACCATCACTCTCTTGTTGCCCTCAGGCTTCGTCTGCTAGAAACCCTCATCTCCACAGTAAATCTTCACTTGATGACTTGTACCCATGTTCAGCATTCAAGTTCACACACTTAAAAATAACAGATTCTGGACAAGAATCACATTTATTTGCAAAATCTTATTGGTAACCAACTTATTGCAGATGGTTCCATGACAGTTTTCTTCTTGTAAATCTGTATTTATATTATATATTGTACATGCTAAAGGATTTGACTATACCCATTCAAGTTCAGTTTACTAGCATCAACAGTTTTAGCCTTCATTCCTGATGCTAATCCATTAATTACTTAACAACTGTGTCTTTATAACAAAGCACTGACACACAGTAAAAGCGACATGATTTTACAGCAAAAAGAAAATGATTTATACCACAGGTCGTTTAAAAATCGAATCAGATTCTATTCTATTCTGAGGGGAGACCAGAGCTGTACAATAAGAATGAATTTTTCATGCTCACAAACATGTGCCCACACTGTCCACTTACTCATGCTGACTGAATGCATGGCCCTCATTGCTAACCACTGTATTGCCAAGGTCACAGCAAATAGCTCAAACCCCACAGACAATTCACCTGCTTATTAGTCCTAATTCAGACAGACGAGGGAGGGGGGGCAATTGTGTATAACTGTGCAGTTTGTGTGTGTTTGTGTGAGGATGTTGATGAGAGAGAAAGATGGAGAGGCTGCTTGGCCAGAGTGTAAGTATGCATCCAAATGTATGTGTCGGCTTGTGTGAGTGTGCAATTGTAGGTAAGTCCTGCAAGGTCGAGGCGTTCCTGTCCTGCATCTCATATGAAGAGAACAGTCCCAGGGAGCGGCTGGTGTTTACATAAGGAGACTGCAGGAGCAGGGACAATGAAGCAGGTGTCACTTCTCCTTTGAATTTGATGAACTTAACAGACGGTGACAAGGATCTTGTTATTTTTCTCAATCGTACAAGTTGATTGTAACAATGCTACTGATTATGTTTTAATCAAGCGGTCCGATCTTTATTAAAGAGCGCGTCTTCTTCAAGGAAATGCGAGTGTGTTTTTTAATAATGTAGCTGTTATTCTATCCTCCCATCAACCAGCAGTAATTCCAGCTCAGTCAAAAGTTCATTCTGTTTTAATTCACTTCTTGCGGCTGTGGCTCAGGAGATGGAGCGGGTGGTCCTCTAACCCAGAAGGTTGGTGGTTCGATCCCGGTCTTCCCCATTCTGCATGCTGAAGTATCCTTTCGCAAGATCTTGAACAGCCCTGATGGCTGTACATCCCCAGGTTAAAACTGACTAATGCCTTTTTATTCACAAATAGTAAAACAGTATTTTTCGACTTTGATTGGATTAGGAGCCACCACCCAGGCACAGTCCTGACCTTCATGTAGCTCTGATGCTGCATGGAGGTCAGAACCAGCAATATCCAGAGCCTTCAGCATCCCAAAGCAAATTCACACCCGACACGTAGCCACCACGGAGCTGCTGGACCATCTCAGTGACCTTTGACAGCGATATGTTTATGGATGAGGCTTCCTCCAAGTCCTCAGACTCTGCCTCCTCCACAGAGGACGCACTGTTTCCGTTCATGTTTGTGAATGTGCAGGATCTCATGAAACTGACAACGTGAAGAAATCCTTTTCTGTCACATCACTGTTGTGAAGAGGGAGCTGATGAAGCAGCTGATCTACATAAATCAAAATCCAAATGAAACATCCGCATTTCCATGAAATGTATTTTTTAATGAATTGCAGGGAGCGTAGTAAGAAGTTATTTCCTGGTCACTACATTAAAGAAAACAAATTTAAAAAAAAAATGTTTGTACCCTGTTGCCAAAGTGAAACAAATATTTATTAGATGGGAAAATATAAAGTATTTGAGTTTTTGCAATGGTACTGCTATTTGTATGTATCCCACAGGTGAACTGAGCAGATATGTCAGTAAATACTTTGCAGCTTTACTCATTTATGTAATAACCCATTCCAGCTGAGATGGCTGACGATAAATTTGTGACTTCTTTGGGTGCAACAAATGGGACATTTATTTGCTGATCCGGTGTCAACTCAGTGGAAACAAATGATGCCAGTAAAAAGTTGTGGTCAGGTTTTTGTGGGGCCCAACGCAGCGGTCGTATCACTGCACGGTTATCCCGACTCATCTCTGAAATAATAAACTTGTGGATGATCCTGCTGTGAGATCGAAGCGTGAAACGTTTATTTTCTGGCAATTTTTCCGACTGTGACTGATGAGCAGTTAGAGAGTTATAATCACAAGAGCCAGCAGCGTTTGAGAGGAGAAAAAGTGCAGATCTAAGTGTTTTTGGCTGCAGCAGAAAGCAGGAGTCATCAGCCGTAACGTGGCCGAGGGCTCGTTTAGCTGCAACAGAGCTCCTGAGTGTGCATCACTGACTCACAAATAAATATCAGAGAACAGAGAGACCTGCTAGATGTTTGCACATCAATCTAATCTAATACCTGCATTAAGAGATGCTTACATCTAAGAAGCCCCGGACACTACTGAGTCAGCAGGACTGACTGTGGATCTTCCTCTGTGGTGTTTAACTGACACACAGGGAGCAAGAAGAAGAAGTGGGTGTTTGAGATGGAGAGGAAAAGGGCATGATGGGAATTGAGGTCAGTAATCGATGAGAGATAAAATAGGTCTGGTCAAAAATATCATTACGATAAAAGTTCTCATCATCAGTGGATTTTACGAGCTCGATAAAGATCCTATTTTTAAGTTTAAAGAATGATGATTGCTCCAGAGTAAAATTTGCACTAATCAGATTGATTAGTTAGTTAATAATAAATCAAATGTTTTTGTGGACAGGAAATAACAAACACGGGCTCAACATTTCAAAAATCGGAGGTAAATCATTTGAAAGGATATTAAGTGTTATTCCTCTTTACCGTACGTGTGAAATGCATAACAATTATATTGATATCGTTCTTATATCTTTAATTGCTATTGAAGAAAATTTTACTGTGATAAGTTTTATTACCCGGCCCTATAGGGTGAAATATACACTATAACTATATTTATACATTTATCAAAATTCTTACGTTAAATTGAAACACGAGTATTACATTTCACAGAACGTGTATTTATCTATTTAAAGATAAATCGTTTCTGCCACAAACACGTCTTTCTTGTCTTCTTTTACTTCTTCTTTTACAACTACTTTGCCAGAGGGTTAATCAGAAACTCGGGGACTTGCTTTTAATTTGAAAGGACCAAAGGACTTGGCTTCTTTTAAAGTGTGGTTTGCTTATTTCTGATAAATTGGATTCGTTAAGGTTTTGGTCTGTTAATTTCCGCGGTCTGAAAACCATCGTGTTGTGAGAAGAGAAAAGCTTTTAGGGCTAAAATCTCTTTGACTTTTAATAAAGAGGCGGACAGGAAAGGTTCGGCAATGGGGTTTATGTGTAATTAATTTTTTGTGGGGCCAAATTAACATCTATCCACCGTAAAGCAGACCAGACACAAGGAAATCCATAGAGCTGAAGCAACAATACATACTAACACAGTAAATCTCTATAGGTTGCACATCTAATGCATTTGAATTCTTACTTTATTGCAGGTTAATGTCACAAAACATCTAATTGTTACTGATTTGCTTGTGCAGAGTTTTTTTCACAGATGTTTTATTATTGAAAGTTTGACTTCTGTGTCCTATTGCTGGGGATTTGCCATCACAGGCTCCATGACTCACTTCATCAACAGTCCAATTCAAATATTGCATCTTTCTGTTCAGCTTTACCTCGAGAATATGCACCAATTTTAAACCAATGTCTGTGGATCCATGTTCCACCTCCAGAAACTCTGATGTGAAAGTATCTGAGCACAACTCGCTGCCTTCCTGCTTTATCTCTTGCAGATGAATATGAATGTTCTCTGTGTGGCGCCGGCAGTGCAGGGACCTTGAAGCAGAATAAAGGCGCAGTAGACTATAGAAGGTAAAAGATGTGAGATTGTTGTTGAAGTTTTTGAGTGTGTAAGTGAAGATTTTCCACCTCGGGAATCAGCTCGGCACCAGTGAATCACATAAGGAATATGCAAGGGAAAGGTCCACAAGGAAACAAGCAAGGAAGCAAACATTTAATACCTTAACCTGGATTGAAGAATATATAAAGTAAATTACACTGGGTCACTCCTGAGGCAGCAGGTCTGTAAGAAATATCAATGTTGCTCTACTGATAAATGACACCATATGGAAACCTGTCTGAACATGAAATCAATAGATCCACAAGTGTTTATAATAAAAGCACAATAAATTCACCATCTGTTTCATGGCAGGAGATCCAGGCTGAGAAATTCAAGGTTCGTGTATCTCACTTTGCAGAAAATCTTGGCCGCTTTGGGCTGTTCTGAAAATATGAGAGTTGTGTGTGGAAAGGTGGCTTCACTGGACTGAGCAGACAGGTTAATTCTCAAAGCCGAGTGGCGCGAGCTGAAAGGTGTAATGATTGGCAGCAGTAGGACGAAGAGAGAAGGAGAGAAAAAAATGTTCCAGTCATAAAACAGCGGGCGCTTACAGCAGTGTGCATCCCGGTCCCCTGAAGCAGATGTTGACTCCGTAACAACTGTTTCTGTGCAGTGGGATGCTGGATCGCTGCCACCAGGTTTTCCAGAGAGAGAGAGAGAGAGAGAGAGAAGCTCCGTGCAAAAAATCACATCCTCAACAAAAAAATGTTCTGCACCTCTGACTGAAAGCTTCCAGTGGGTGGATGTGGGAGATTATTACAACAAGGCAATGCCTGCAAGGACCGAGTCACCAGGTAATCTGTTATCAATACGCCATAACCGTCCCACCCCCGAGGACAAGTGATTCATCCCTCTGAACTCTGAATCCCCTCTCAAAGTCTGAGTTGTAACTTCTGCAGCTGAAAACCAGTGAGGAGCAGAAAACTCTCCCTTCACCGATGATGAACCAGCCCAGCGCCTGTAGCCCGAGGCTGAGTTAACTGTAACCTTGGACAAACTTAAACTAAAGCAGAGAATGTTGGGTTGTAGAAGTTTTCCTTCTACATATGATCAACGCAGCAGACGAGCATCCAGTCAGATGCATTTACAACGACACAGAAGTCTCCAGAGCATTAAGGGGATGTCCATCGAGGAGGAAAATGTCAACAGGTCAGCAAAGTCAGCAGGTTTCACCCTATGTGGAATATATCTGTTGGGAAATTAATGGAAATAGAGCTAATTTATATATTTGATTCTTCACACTATCCCTAGCATCAAGGCTAAAACAGCGTATGTAAATCAAATGTAGGTGCATAGCATATTTCCACAAAGACTCTGGAGTCTGATGCTCATCTTGCTGGACGTGGATTCTCTATTTTCTGCTTCTCCAGCACTGCAGCCCCCTCCCTCCTCATCAGCAGAGAGTTCCTGCTTATTGACCTGTTTTCTTTCAATCCTCCAGTGCCCCGATGTTCTGCTTTCTTTCAGCATCTTGCTTCCCCTCTGTCCTACCTGAGCTCCATTAGCCTCCTCAGCTCATCCCTCTTGTTGCTTTGGCCCATCAGAGCTTTGTGTCCCATTCTCCTTAACTGCAAGTTGGTCCGGGCAAAATAAGACCTGAGACTTTCCTCGGGTGTATAAACACTTGTTTTAACCAGTGCTCGTCCACTGAACAGATCGCTGCTGCGTGTGATTTATACTCACATGCATTCTGCTCTGTATGCATATCGCAACTTACTGCTGCATATTATATTTTTCATTTAATCAGCAGGTTCATGTTGCATATTGGGTCTATCTTTTGATGGAGACCCTTTCAGCAACAAACTAGAAAATCCACTTCGACTCTTTATCACTTTATCCTCAAGCAATGAAACGAGTTCATGTGTCTGGAATTGGACAAAAGGTAATTTCGTCTTTGTAAAAAAAAAAAAAAAAAAACCCTTAGCTGAGCAGCTTCTTCTTGTTGATGCTAGTTTGCAGAGCACTCTGTGCACAAGCTTGCAAACCAAACTTACTTTCTTGACAAACAGTATCTGGGCATCACATGTTCTCAGGGTTTTCACAGACTACCTGTCGGTTCCTGCTGTCAGGTACGCACTGCAGCTTGTGCAGCAACACCGCGCTCAACTGAGAAGCTGTGGTGACCTGTCAGCTGTAAACAGACAGATTCTCCTCTGAACCAAAGCAGTTTAACCACTTACACTGGTGAAAAGGTGGCTCAACACTAGCAGGAGGATAACAATGAAACTTAATCAGAAAGAAAGAGTCCTGCTGTGAAGAGCTGAGCATCATCAAATCAAATGTTGCTGTGGTTACAATGTGCTGAATGAAACAGATCATCTCCACCACAGCTTACTGGCTTTTTTCCTTGTTATTAGCTTGTTAGCAAACCTAAAATATACATTCTGCAGCTGCTTGTTGTCCCCAGGTTGAGTTTTCATATATTTTATGCATAATTATGAACTTTGAGCAATAAAAACTCAGTATAAGCTGAAAGAGCTACTTGATGATGTGACAAATCATGAATGAGCACACAGAAGATGTGTACAGGTGGTTTGTGGCTAAAACGTTAGTTCAGCATGTTATATTTACTAATTGGCACAACGGATAAAAAACTGCTGAGGGATGCAAACAGCGGCTGCAATTCAAACTGACAACCACATAATTTCAGTTTGGTAATAAACACAGACTTTATATAAAGATGGACGAAACGTCTCCACTTCCTCCAATTGAATAAACCAAATTGACCATTTGGAGGTAAAGTCTGCGCAGTAGTGATCGTGGACGACTTTTTAAGTTGGTCTATCAACTAACACGGAGAAGGTAAGGGTTTATGACTTGGATTCCTGGATTCATGTCGTCCGTCTTTATACACAAGCTATAGTAATAAGATGATGCTCTTCGTATCAACAACTGTACAGCGGAATGAAAGTGGGAGACGTTCCTTGAACAAATACTATGAACACCATGAACAGTTTAAAGTGATCAGCTGGAAGAATGTTTTTAAAGTTGTCTTGAAAACTGTGTAATGCCACTAATCCTGAACAACCACTTCTCACCAGCTGGAGGAGACGGAACATGGAGTAAGCAAATATATTTGCATTGCATTGTGTTCCTGTGTGTTTGCATTCGCTTGTTTGTCTACTGCATTCACGCGTCGTGTTGGACACATTTGTACACACAACATGTCCAAACTCACCACCGCACCAGCATACATCATCTCCTTGTTGCGTCAACGCTGATAGCGTGTGCGTGAATCAGCACAGGACCGAGCATATGTTCCTCCTCCTCTGCTGTCGAGCACTAAGCTGTATCCCTGACAGATGGTCCAACTGCACTTAACATGAACATATTATTTTATCATGAACTGTATAAACCGCAGAATGACTCTTGATCTTTAGGAATTATACAGATGTTGGACTGCATGGACACGGAGATGCTATTACATGTGCCGTGCTATTTATTCCATGCATTTCTCTTGTGTTTTCAATTATAACATGTTCTATTTACGCAGCAACAGGAATGTGTTTCTTTGTACATATCGTCTGAGAGGAGAGAAGCACTTTGCATCGGCCTCTAACCAGCACGCCACTCTGAAAACAACGCTCTTCCTCTGAGCCAAAGATTGATCCAGAAACTACACATTTCTGCCTTGAGGAGGAGCCACCTAATGTAATTTATCAAGGGCAGCACAGATGGAGAGAAAAGTGGCAAAAAAACCTAATGGTTTATGACTGAGTTCCCTGCAGTGCAATAATGTGACGTACTGAGCCGAACAGTGTTAGAGGCATAGAGAGAGAACCTGGTGTCATTTGATATGAACTGAACTTCACTGAAAAACAAACACTGAAACACCGTGGTAAATAATAACTAATAAACATAGCATGTAGTTTATTTGTGTCTTGAATTGTGAGAGGAACAGTTCGTATTCTCAGTGGTACTTTAATGTACGATCTTACTAATGTGAGACACCAGTAATCATGCCAGAGATATCTCACAGAAAGATATTCTCACAATACAAACAACAAATATCAAAAATATATGTTAAGAAAAAGTAGATTGTAGGTGAGTACTTAGATTTTGACAGTAGCAATACCACAGTGTGCAGATGTTCTAACATATATAATATATTTGTATCATATTATTGGACTAAGATCATGGATGGATTCATTTATATTCAAATGTTGCAAGTAATCATAACTACTTTAAATACTGCTGGGAAGCTTCATCTATAATTACACAGGTAATTGCAACAAAAACTGCAACAAAACTAATAAGTACAATTCAAATATGAATGTAGTTTAATTCAATATTTGAATTATTATAGAGAAGAGAGTATAAACTGGAGTAAAATAGAAATACTACTCCACAAGTCATTCCTAAACTGACAACTGTCTGTTTGTAATGAGATTAAAAGACCAGATGAGTCTTTTGAGTTTTCAACACATGATGAGTTGATATTTGTGAGCTAACGTTCACACTTGTGTTTCCACTGCGCACGGACGAAGCTCTGCTGTGAAGCTAATTCAATTACTGTATGAACTTTTACAAACGCTTGCAACAGCAACACAAGAATTTGACTGATGAGCTTGATATTTGTGAAGAAACACCGTCGACAACAACAGTGTTTGGAATGAGAACTCATCGACTCAGTGGTCACATCTCTGTGAAGCTTCATTCAACATAACTACAGATGTAAATAGTTAATGATTTACTTAGGATGTAAATAATAAATGACTCGGGTTCAGTTTGGTTCAATGCCCCTGACCAACAGCATCTCTGCATCACATATTCCTGAGCATTTGACATTTGACATCCAGAATCCAAATAGGATCCTGGATTATTTTATTCTTCTGAGGTGTAACGTCATTGCATCAAGCAAATGTGGACTCAATTCTTCCCTACCTCCAGGATAGATGCCTCTTATTCCACTTGTTCTGAGGGCTGGAGCTTCGTTTGCTACGGCCCGCTGTCCCCTCAGCTTCAGACACATCTGGCAGCGAACATCTGGGTGTTTTCATTAGACCCAGTGTGGCTTGGTCTAAAGAGAGGCAGAGAAGAGCGTGTATAGGCGTCTTAGAAAAATTCACAGTTGACGGATAGCTACAGATTATATTTTTAAAAAAGTGGTTCCATCCAGTGGATAACATCTGAGTTTAAGAAAATAAACCTCACTTCAGTAGCTGTGTACTCACATGAATACATGTGTGTAGGTTGTGAGAGGCCATTAAATCATACATGGTATCTATGAAACTCTTTTCCAAGCACGCTCTTACATGTTGATATTCAGGCCAGAAATTATACTTGCTTTCACCAGTGCACTATTTTGAAACCAATCAGGCACAGTATCGCGCCCTCTGTAGTCGTATAAGTCCGGGCAAAGAATGATGTTGCTTGTAAAGGAGGATTATGGCGTGTAAATGTGAGTGAGACTGGAAATTATTTATGAGAAATGACGTGTACAGTATATATGAGGAAATAAACGAATCAATATGCTGTTATTCAGTATTACAGATGCCACTATTATCAGTCATGTGGTGCAGTGCTGTCATTCCGCCCCACGTGTGTGTGACAGCCAGCGTGATTTGTGTTTACACAATGTCTCACGGTGTGTAGACCTCCGTGCAATGTTATGCAATCCAGCAGAAAAGGCGTGAAATAAATTTGACTAATGTTCTAATGTTCGGCGGTTGTGTCAGAATGATATTGATTCGCATGGGTGGCACTCTTCAACGCTGTACTTTGTGTTTTCTGTCAGCTGGATTGCACGATATTGCAGTATATTGTTGGGTCTGTCTCGAACTTTATCCCCAGGTACACTTCACATCAAAGTACAATTCATCCTCTCACACCCACATATTGTCGTGACACAGTAAACACACATTGTGCTTCCATCAAGGCAACTCTCCCTCCTCGAAGCAAACACAGCACACGTACCAAAGACTCCGGTCTCCTTCAGGCCTCCGAACCTCTGCATGGCTTTGATGGCCTTGGTCAGGGCCTCCTTGGTCTGGAGCTGACCAGTCACCGGGTCGGGGGGCGGGAGGTAGCCAAACTTGCTCAGCCAGTCCTGCAGAGGGAAACAGTAGACGCAGAGTTCAAGAGTCAGCGCAGGCATTTCAATGACTCCACGCATCCCACAGCTGCTGAGTGTTTACGCTCTGTGGATTCAGTGTCTGTACATGTGCGAGCATCCAGGAGTTGTGAGAGCTTTGTGTCGTGTGCAGCAGCTTGTGCTCTGAAAGAACAGACAATAAAGGACTGAAAAATAAAGGATATTTTGTTGCAGCACTGAGAAGGAACAGAGTCAAAAATCAATATAACTGGTATTTTCAGTGGTTTTCCGTTTCCATGACCAGGTATATAAATTGTGAAATGTTCTGTAATGTGATCGTTAACCTTAAGCAGCTGGAATTAAGTCACTGGTGATTTTATTATGTACATTATGGTTTTCCCTGCAATGAAATTACTAAAAACATCTATTAATCCGTTGATTGTAAACCCGAAAGTGAAGCCAAAGTGTCTTAATCCCCCCCTGGTGGCTGGCTGCAGTACACGTCATAAACCCTGCTTCTGCCAAAGGGACAGATTGGACATGGGCCAAACTAAAAAGCCAAAATAAACGTCAACTAAATTCTTCTCAAGTCTGGTTTCTATTATTTTTGGTAGTTCATAAGCAAGGATGTATGTTCAAGTGTTTCATTTTCCAGTAAGTGTGGTTCTAGTTAGTTATTTGACGCTATAAAGACGAGAAGTAGAGACACATCATCGTCCAGCTTTAACAAGTCTGTGGTTTAATTACTGTCAGTTTTGTTTCTGCATATTGTTCAACTTTCAGTCAGTGGTATTTTATATATTCTCACTGTTCCATATATGAACACTTTATTAAAAATGATCTTTGCAAATTGTGTTAATTGCTCAAGAGTCTTTCCTTTGGTTGCTTATATTAAAATAAGGGTTATTTATTCACAGAAGCTGTGAAACTATTTCCATCTACTTTCAAATATCATCTGATCCAATTACGGCCACATTTCCTCCCTTTCTTCTTTTAATTGACTCCGGCAGCTGCTCTTTCTTTCTTGCTGTTTCAGTCTCTCTCTGTCCTCCATCTCTCTGCTCCACCTCTCGATGATCTAATGGCCAGTCAGGTTTTTTAAAGGATTTTTGATCAGCGCTCAGCTGAGATGAATGACACAAGTCAATAATGAGGCAAACATCATCTATCAACAACACTGGGAAATTTCAATTAACCACAAGATTGGATTTCGTTTGTTCGTTTTATGTAGAAAAAAATTTGCTTCCTCATGCTTGTCTTTGATATTTATAGTTTCATTTTAAAGAAAAGTCGTTGTAATATGTATTTTGCTAATCTTTTCTGCATTGTTTATTTTGTAAAACAAAAATGATGAAAGTAGTGTATTTGTGGTCAACCAATAAATATACACGTGTCTACAAATTCTTATGGAGAAAGTCTCAAACTCCAGAATTTTCCCATTCTTGTGTGAAAATTGATTTATATCTCTGATGTCTACAAACCAAAAACTCCCTGCGTGTACACACCCACACAGTGCCTTATATTTTAATGTCCTGATAAATGTCAGGGCCATGGGCCACTTTTCACTCACTAATAAAACTGAAATCTATGTGATGATGTGCTTTTAGTGCCGGCACTCATGCCAGGTGGCTCGGATATAAAAGGTAGATGAGCTGAGGTTTATGATTAAGACGTTCTGTAAATATATCACCGCACATCCACCGGTTAAAAGAAAAGGAAAAAGAAAATTAGGAAAGTTAATGACCTAAAAAATATGAAGTTGTAGGTGAAGATAAAAAAGAGACAGCAGCTTCAAAATTCTGAACAGCATCAAGGGATGAGCCCGACAGAGTCGACACGTGGAACCCCGTATGTGGTCTGGGTGAAAAGCACAGGGATTCTGGGGCAGGTTCTAGTGAAGCACTTTGAGGTTCAAAAGCCACCCGCCCTACTTTCAGAGCCTGAGTGATATGTCAGCAAACTGAGAGCTCTGCCAGAAATCTACAGCAAAAATAATGATGCTGCATTCATAAGGCGGGATTGTTCCCTGGGTGTCAAACTTGCATGTCAGTTTTCTCTCCGTTTTCAGGGCAGTCACATCGAAGGGTCAGCAAATATCCGCTGCTGTAGATTCAGTTTCTTTCTCGAGGACCAGCTAAGACTTGAAGGATGATTTCTGCCTTTGCTAATGCAAAACATGTTTCACTGTATGAAATCTACAGAGGAAAACCAGTTAATACCGTGGTCTGCATATCCAAAGAAGCTTTCTGTGTGTCTGAGCATCAACGCAAAGTAAAAACAATTACGAAAAACACAACCATACCATTAGTGGACCTTTTGACTTCAATTGAGCAGTTTCAGCACATTGTTGAAAACACTAAGAGCATCAATCCCAAAGTGCTGTTGGATCTGAAGTGATATTACAATAATAACAGCAATTCAACGTGCCTTATGTAAGGCACAAAGACACTGGAGAGGAATCCAATCGGTTGAAGTACGTAGAAATTCAATTAAATGAAAAATAATCATTGCGAGGTAAAGCAGATTTTTACCCGTCCATTTGTTTGTTTGTTTTTTTTGTCAGCAGAAATACGCAAAAATGCTGAATAGAATTTCGAAGTTTAGGGGTTAAAAAGCTGTGCGTTACTGTGCCACAGATATTTATTGAGACAAGGTCGTTGTTCTACACCGTCGAGAATATCACAAACTCCATCATCTATCTGTCAGAGCTGCCTGCTGCTCAGGAAGTGACTGTGACTATCAGCAAGTACAACACGAGTAAGTGTGTGTGTGTGTGTGTGTGTACACCTCTAAGGAATAGAAGAAGCAGAGAATAAATAAGAAAGATGGAGAAAGACACAGGTAGATGGAGGACAATGAGTCTGAAGATACTCCGTCTGTTGTACAGCCTTGTAAACATCAAATCAAACCACCGGCTATAATTTCAAGCAGACAAGGAGATAAATGTCATTCATGCATGAGCTGACTGAATGACACTGACCCCAAAAAGAAGGAGAAAGAGTTCAGGCGCACATCAGCGTCACTGGCTTTATTCCAGCTGACCTTCCTGAAGCTGGATTTATGACCAAGGTATGAAAACAGGTCAGTGTGAAACAGGTAGCTGCGTCCTCTCATGTGTGTTTTAATACCAGCTGTGAGTGTTTAGAGAATATAGGAGGACTGTTTAGGTACTTCTACAGCCAGACTGCTTTTATAAGTTCCTGTGGATGTTTTACTACGTTTTTCCACTGTAAAAACATGTTTCTTATGCAGCTTCTCAACAGCCACATTTCACGCCAAGAAGTTGAGAGGATTTGTACTGAAAAGGCACATTTAATGTTTAATGGTTGTGTATATATCTAAAATATATATAGATCAGTGTGGAACGTATTAACGAGAACTAAGTGGAAACAGAAACAGCATTTAGATTTTTTAAAAGGGGATTTTATTGTTCGTTCAAGAGTTTGATGAACACAAACAGTCATTTGTATCAATTTTAGAGAGTTTAATGCTGAATGTGCTGGAAGAATAATGGGCCAATAAAGGCCGGCTTAAAGAGGCAGCGAGAGCCAATAAAGACTGGGTCCTTCACAAGGAAAGAAAATAGTGATGGAGGCACGGATCAATCATCTCAACAGGATATTTTTATCAAGTGATCGATGATAGATTCCTCGACAGACGCAGCTGTGAGGCGTCATCGTGAGAAAAGAGAGTGTGGTGCCACACAAGCTGTGTCTACATCTACTCTCCATTATTATTATTATTATTATTATTATACATTCATGCTCCCCAGATGATGAATCCAACGGGCTTTAGTGATCCACTGACTTCCTCCTAGCGCCACCATGAGGTTTCCCATTTGTCATTTTGAGTTGACAGCTATTTGATTAATTGTAAACACATTCATGTTCCCTTTAGGATGATCTGTAGCCCCTCAGTATAGTTTTATTAGAGTAATCATGGTACATTATAGTATCGCTCTGAGATGATAGCTCTGCTTGGGATTGTTAATTCGACACAACAGCTTAATGCAGTTCACTTTGCACACACAAAAGAACTGTTCTTACATCATTGTGTTGAGTTGAATATGAGAGAGAGAGAAAAATGCAACAATGAAGTGAAAATAAAATGGGAAAACATCAGTGTATTAATATGAATGGTGTGTTACTGAAGCCTAATGGAAGGAGTGGGTGGATTATCCAATTTGTTTTTATTTCTGATGGAATGTTGTAGAAACGAACCAGTTTTTCTTTATGTATTTTTGCATCAGCTAATGTCAACGCTAGACAAAAGAGGAAACCCCCGTCAAATGTCAACATACAGAATTTTACGTAAAGATTTTTAGGTTTTTATGAAGAAGAAATAAGCAGCAATTTGTTTGTTGTAAAGGTTGTTAGCCCAGTGATTGAGAAATATTTATTTGCTTATTAAATTATCTTTGTTTTTTTCTAACAATTGCGACACTGTGCTGAATGAGGAACATTTTTAAACATTTGTTAAACAAAGACAAAGACAAACATTTTTGACATGATGTCAGTCCCCTGCAGAACAAAGACACGAGTGAAAGAGAAAATAAGGAAAGTGAGCAAAGAGATGGGGGCAGCTTAGCAGTTGAGAGACGGGAGGCTAAAGCTGGTTTTGTCAGCTGCTCCTCCTTATCGCTCGCAGGTCAAAGAGCCAGATGGACAAAAAGGGAGAGCAGATCTTAAGACAAGAACAAAGACAGCGAGGGAGAGACGGAGGTGACAGGGAGGGATGTGATGTGCCACAGTGTAAAGACAGAAGACACAGTGTACTTCTTCAACTGCAAAGGAGAAACTGGTTGAATTTGTGCCACGAGAAGCATAAACATTAAAAAATGAATTAAAGGTGTTTTTTCAACACGTTATGACATACTGAGCTTTCTGAAGGATTTGTATCGGCCTCGTGTAGAGAAACTTTGGTCTCCAGCATTTGCTTTAATTTAGAAATGAAGTGTGCAACAAGAAAAAGATGAAAGGACGTGAAATACACGAATGAACGTTTAATACAGAAGC